AATTACTTAAGCGTTGTACAAACTCGTAAATAACTCGGCTTGTCATTGGACTCTCATACGACGACAACATAATTTCAAATATCGAAGGGTTATTTAACCGCTACATTTTTTTTTCTAACAGTATCTGTCGTCAAAAGCAACTTGCGGGGATTTTTTTTAATTAAGAAGATTTACTAACTTAACCTTTGTCAGCTTCTTTACTTAAAAAAAAGATAATACCGTCTCTTGAATAGTCAAAGGTTTTTTTGTTCCTTTGTCGCGGATTACGAATTAAAAAAAAGTACGAAGTAAAAGCTTAAGTATTATTAGTATTAAAAATGGGCAATAGGATGCATAAATTAAAATTTAAAAAAAAAACTGACACTTATTACAAAGAAATTAATAAATCTTTTCCAAAACTTACATATTACAAACATTTTAATTAAATTTAGTTAATTTCGAAATCTCCAAATTAAATATATTAAGTTGATTTAAGTTTACAATATCTTGACATTTTATTATGCGTTTTACATATTTTCATTACCACCAAAATATGTAACGTTTTTGTTACATATTGGATTACGTAACATAAACGAGAACATACAACTTCACCAACGAAATGTTATTCCATTCTACGCATGGACATAAACAACCAATTGCTTAGAAAATGCTACCTAATAATTACACACGTAAAACAATGTGCTGATCACCTTAGCCGAATGCGCATGCTAATAAATATTCATTTTTCAACTAATTTTAATAGTAAAAAAATTATTAATTAATTGTTAAAATCTGGACATGTAGGTTTACTAAAACCATCCTTCTATACCATTAACATCTATTGTTACCGGTGTGTGTGTACTTATTTCTACACCGTTACTTAAATAAGAACAATTGTTTTTCCGCCAAAACATTCAGCGTAGCGAGCCGGCACGTTTCTCTCCCACGCAGCCATCCATCTTTAAGCTAAGACAGACCCGCGCTCGGTCGACTCATCGCGTTAATTTGCTTCTGTGTACGCGACGCTACTTTACCTAACATTTTTATCAAACCACTATCTTTTACGTAAACATATACAGCTCCCCTTAGTTGTACTTAAGTAGGTCATAATATCGTACTTAATTAAGTAATTCGTAATTCATTTAAGTCAATTTACTGTACCATACCATTGTACTGTACCATTTCGATTGGATCAATTTGGCTACAGAAATGGTAAAAGTGTTAGTCGCTTTTTCCGTTGATATGTGTCATTGAACAAACAAGACATAATTTAAAGGACAAATTACAATATTATATTTAAAATTATAATCTAACTAAAATCCTATTGTTTGCCTGTAGATCACACATCTTAATCGAATTCCAGGCAATAACAAAATCACATCAACTCCGTGTTGATAACGATCGTGTGTAGAGGTCGCACTGCGGTTGACATTGACGGATATCCGCGCGGCTAGAGATTATACCCGCCTTTTGTGACGGATACCGCGCCCGGATTATCCGGGGGTGTTGGCGGAGCACGGATAAGGCGGTTGAAAATTTAGAAAAAACTGTCATCGTTAACGTCTAGTATTGGATTTTCACATGAAACGTATTTTGCTTTTTTCTATTTTTTAAGTGCTCATGTTTGGAGGTATGAAAGTTACCATTTAACTCTGGTATTAGGTGTCAATTATTGTCTTATACACTTATTATAAAAACTATATTCTTCTAAGACTTTTTCTTTTTGATTATTTCATAAGATGACGCCCAAAGATAGTAAATTCCTTTCTTACACAAAAATTTTCAAGGTAGGTCGAGGTGAAATGAAAATATCATTGCCAAATCTACAAGCTAATATTAGTACATTGTTATGTGAAGAATACTCTTATGGGCACATATTATTCTCGTATTTATTAAAAGTAATCTGAAATACCAACAGAACTGTTTTTCCGGAGCAAAATGAAGGAAAAAAACTTGAGGATTCAGTGTGAAATGTGGATTTAGGAAAGCGGACCGCTTTTAACATTAATGACATCTAAGCCGGGCGGTGTCAGTGCGAGTGACGCTGACAGATGTGTGCCATGACAGTACTTAGGGATGTACAGTCCCGAAAACTGTCGGTATTTTACTTTAAAAACTACAATCCTTTGAACATTTTTTAAGACGTGGAACAAAAACCAATACAACGCAGCTTGTAAATCGATTCGTGATACACGGTTAATTTCTTTTTATTATTATAGTTGGCACTTAGTTGGTTGCTAATTAATTAATTATGTGGAGGAATAAGCGGAGTTTTTCTCTGCAATTAAAAAGGCAATTCCTAAAGTGAAACACCGCGAATTTACGCGACTGTACCTCCTGGGACAGAAAGTAAAACATGTAACTTCAATAATATGTAACTATTCCGTCAATATCTGCAATGACTAAGTCCATTTTTATTCAACTTGCAATTGACTAGTGTCAATATTTACACCGACAAGGGTTTTTTTTAACATAAATAAACCAGCGCTTGACCACGACTCTACCTAAGCTAAGTGAAGACGCGGCCGAAGGATAGAGCGCGCTAGCTCAATAAGTGCCGATTCACCGGTTTGCAGTTCTGTTGCTGTTGTCCATTGGCTTCTATTATGAACAGATCACACCGATATTAAATCCAGCGTAGTATGTACAAACATTTCTATAATCTCGCACTTCCGTCCCCAGTCTCCCGGGTGACAAATGGACGAGCATCGTAAATTGAGTTTGGATGCCCCGACGGCGCTTAATCATCGTTTTCTCGTGCATCTTGCAACTCAGTTTAGTGGGAAATTAATGGACGTACAATCAAAATGTTTATGGCATTTTGTACTTTGATAACGTTATCAGCGATACAGACTTTTATTCCGTGTCAAGAAGACAATTTTAGTGTTGTGACGTCATTAAAGGCCATAACAGTTTTAGACCTGAAATGTAGACCTGTCATGTTATCTTGATAATGCAAGTCGAATTTATCGCAAATGCATAAAGGTTTCTGAGTAATCTATGATATTAATAGACATGTTAGACACACCTATGTTTTATATCCGTCTATTCAAGTTTTCGTTCACATAATTCACTTTTATAATGCTCAAGTACAAAAACATGTCCTTTCCCTTTTAATTTCTACAACGAAACATAGACAATTTTATATCATATTCCTCAGAACGCTTTCGTTTATCGACAAAATTTATATCTAACTAGCTCGCGACTTCGCCCGCGTGAAATAAAAATATACCCTATGTTACTCATAGATAAATTACATTTCTAACGGTGTAAGAATTATTTAAATCGACCCAGTAGTTTTTGTGTTACTTAAGTACATACAAAAATATAAAACTTTTCTCTTTATAATATTAGTATAGATAATATTTGGTGTTATACCTTGTGTCTGAGAGGTAACACGAATACGATTTCGCATCTGTCACGCAAAGATTCGTAATAAACCCTCTGTTATTGTAGGTATATCGCAACAAAAGGGAACCTGTTAACTCTATCTTGATCGTTAGAATGAAATCATGTTTTAAGCGACACTTAAATATCAGGATAGACCTCCCAGACAATTCACTCTGTTATACCAACGCCCTGAAAACTCAGGTTGTAAAAATTGCTCTGTTATTGATTACCTATACAATGTTATTTCTAGACCCGACAGCATAATATTTTACTACCGAAGACGTGTGCACACTACTACATGCACTCACACATCGGCAATAACGCACACGTACAGCTTAAGAAAAATACTCCGCGTCGCGAGTTTTTCTTAGGAACTATGATGTCATGGAGAGGTCGCACATCTAAATTACTTTCAATTATATCAACATACAGTTTACCTGTGTATAATTATTTTGAGATTTACTTCTATTTATCATTTGAATATTAATGTTGGAGTGTAGTGTTTCATAGGAATATAAATATACTATAGCAGTCAATTGAAAACTTTTAATTAAGGAGAACTATCGATTTATATCTAAAACGCTTACATTTTTGCAGCATAAAGTAGAGGTTGAAGACAACTATAAACATACAAAAAAACGTCGTTTTTTTGTATGTTTTTTGCAAGTTTATTTAGTTTTTTGCAAGTTAAAGTAAGTCTAACTGCGACAACCGAACACATCTACTAAATATTTATTTCATTATATAAATCGTTGGCATATGCATAGTAGTTATATAAATTCTATTACATTCAATAAAACGTTTTTCATAATAAAAGCTCATACAGAGTCATATAAAATGCATAGAATTTACTAAACTTTTTAGATTAATTCGCCTCCCTACCTTTTCGAACTTTGTGCTTCACATACATACACGTTCCTGCGTCACACGTGAATAACCCCATCCCACTCACTCATCTCACGTCGGAAAGGGACACCGCACAAGTTTAGGACTAACATTTTATATGTTGGCCGGGTCATGGATATAAAAATCGTTTTTCCGACATATATGTGGATGTATAGGTATGTTTGCGCCATACCACAGTAACGGCGTCGTATAGGGCATTAGAAATCCTCAATAATAGAGAATTATTGCTATTGTGTTGGCCTCTACAGGATTGTGTAGTTTTCAAATCATTTGAAGTTTGCTTGCAACAGAGTTGAAGATAATTTCTTTCTATAAACTACAAAAAATGCTAAGGAAAACATGACAATGACTTAGTAGAAGATTATCAAACTTACTTGTATACTGCTGGGTTTCTGAAGTTTCCAGTTATCGTCATTACCTAGCGATTCATTAGTTTTAGATTGATCTCTGTTTCAACGGAGTAAAATTCAATTTACGTAGTACGGAGACGCTTTTCATGAATTAAACCAAAATCACAAACGAATGGTTAAACGTAGCTGGGAAACCGGCCATAAGCAAAGTGTTATGATTATATAAATTAAAATATATCAATTGATAAGGGTAACAAAATAATTGATATTTCTACAACTTAAGTAATAAGTATTTAATTATAATATGTCCATTTAAAATCAGATATTTAAGCATTAGTTATTACTTTAAAATAACACTGTGTGTTTGTCCTACAGCACTGCCAACAGAAAGATGGCCTGGAATATGCCGCGTGGTCTCGACCACGGGGCGCCATGGCCATCAAACAAGGCTACGAGGTGAGGCTCGAATTGTCGAAACTTGTTTTGCCCACTGTACCTTTCTGTTTGAATAGTTTTATTTACTTTTCTTTCTTTGATTTGCTTCGGATATTGCTAGTGTCTTTTATTTCGCTTTAAATGTATTTGTTTCTAGATTTAAGTAGATTTTCTTTGAACTTAATTGGAGTATATTTTTTTATGTTAAAATTATTTCGTAGCCTTTTTATTAGTAGTAAAGAAACGCTTTAAAGTCGTTACCATAGATTTCCGCGACACTAGTATGTTATCTGTTTTGTCAAAGAGTGACAAGGATGGCAATATGCTTTATATAAGTGTCATGGCAGTGTAATTCAATGGTCAGAATTAACAATAATGAGTAATCGTAAATTGTAATTCCGAAGAAAGTATTATTGAGTAGTTTTTACATATTTTTTGAGCAGATATCATTGATTTGCACAAATGTTATTTGCGTATAATCGTATTGTGGTGTTTAACAATTATAATTATCATAATCGATGATTCGTAACGCGTGGAAAAACACTGAGTTACCAGCTACCTACGCCGGTTGTTATGTATAACGTTTTAAATAAATTAACAACAAATGTTTATAGAATCTTTAATAATAACTTTTATTGCTGTTGTCGTTCGAATTTATATCAATACTAGCTGTTCCCGTGCGGCTTCATCCGCATGAAATTATGCAAACTTTATTTTACTGTTTACATTTGTCGAATTCTCAATTGCCAATGTCAAAATTACCAATTACCTTACTATGGCAATCTTACTTCCTTAATGTTGGCAGCAACTTATGGTCTCGTTCTCACATTAGGGTTTTTATCCAAAATATTTACCCCCTAAGTTTAATGGCGTGAAAATATATAGCCTAAAGCGTGACGTAAGTGTAGAGCTTTTTATTAAAAAAAAGAATTATTCAAAAACATGCTGTAATTGCTGACGGGCAACAAAGAAGTGTGTGTTTAGGCTTTATTATAATAGCATAGATAACTTTTATTGCTGTTTTCGTTCGAATTTATATCAATATTAGAACTGTGGAAGAAAATGTTCCTGTGAATTGGCAAAGAAAAACTACTTGAAAATCGGAGGAGCTATTAGTTTTCAAACTAATTTAATAATTAAGAAATAAATTACGGTTTTAGTATATTTAGAAATTTATACACAAAAGAGAAAAAAGACATCATTCTTCTTCATTTCACACTTTACTTTTAAAAAACTCCTCGAATGTGTGATAACATGCTTCAATTTATTTTATTATATGTAATATATTTTTTTCTAAGAATATAAACCTCTAGAAGTCTATTAAATTTTCTCAAAGTTATATGATCATGCCGCAGTTAAATATTGCCAATAAAAACTACATTTATTACTTTTCTTTTAAAGTTCTAAACCGACTAATAATCAATAATACAGTAAAGTTTTAAATAAAAAATATTAAGTATTGGTATTCCATTTAATCAAGTTGAGTTAAGTATTCTCAAAGTTAGTATTAACATAGTGAAAACGAATGAAAAACACTTGAAATGTCACATGCAATTATTATCAACTTATAACAATCCATAGATTTTTAAGTCAGCTACTAAAACGTTATCAATTATGGGAAATGTACCTCATGGGTAATACTTAACGGGTAATTTGGTCCTAGGTTCGAATCCATGTTCTAATATGTTTTGCGATATTCGAATTAATTGTGATCATTTACTTACTGTAAAGGTAATCATCGTGATGCAACCTGCACATATTTGCGAAAATCCAGATACGAATTAAGTGACCCCACATTAGGCTATTGTGGCTTAGTCTCGCCTAACTTAGGATAGGTATCAAGCAATTTAATAGGAAAATAGTGACATGATAATGATGGAAAATTTTAGTCTTGAAACTTTCCATCTTTCTAGGTTTCCAAAGAACTACATCTAACCCTAAAATACTCAAAGTGTGTCGACAAAACACCGTCCATTCTAAAGTTCGGGGTAGTTTACGTCAAAACTTGCTATTAGCGGCGATAGATGGCGCTATATTAAACTATTTCTGTACAACGCCAGGACGTCGACGTAAGATATTTTCCTTTTACGACACAGTATAAAAGTATTTCGTTGAATATCACGAGATTTACGGTTTATTACGTCATTTTTAAGGATAGAAAACTCTTCATACTACCTACGGATTCGGGGAGCTATTACGATTTTATTGGTTATCATAAAAAATATAATGATACACGTAAAACAACAGATTCTACGACTTCATTAAAATATATTGATAGAACGCAAGAATATAAGATTCCATTTTTAAACTGACATTTTTAAAAACAAAACTAAAACAAGGAATTAATACAGAAATAATTTCCTTTTGTAAAAAAAAAGTATATTCAAATAAACAAAATTAAATAGCCTATTCGTTCGTCCAGTCTATTTTCTACATCTATGTCAAATTTCATCGAGATCCGTTCCGTTTTGGCGGTAAATTCTAACAAACATCCATTCATCTAAAGTTTCACATTTATAATATTAGTAAGATGTAATATTTAAATAGAAAATCCTTTCATGTAATCGATGTAACCTTAAACTACGGATGTGATCACTTAAATTAAATTTCACGTACCGTCGGTAGAGGGCGTTATCTACGCGAAATTAATTCGCAACGGACCGCCACGAGAGGGTACCCATAGTTTCTGATTTATGGTTCGGGTTCGATTCGTTACGTTAGCTCGCAAATTTCCTTTCTCATTTACTTAAAACTATCGCACAATTTCGAGTTATGGTTTGTTTTTTGAATTATACATAGCCTTGGATATTTGTGTTTCGTTGATAACTGAATTGGTTTAATCGAGATGTTTATGTACTCGTTTTATTTTTGTAAGGCGCTTGTCAATTTACGAATACCGCACTCAAAATGTAAGTTTATTTTATTATTTATTTAGACTTCTTTAATGTAGGTATAGTAAAAATCTGCAATAAGTAATTAATTTAGTTACAAATTAAAATGATAATTAGAGTTACTTGTTTTAAATATTACGAAATTTCTTAAACAAGATATGATTTAAATATTTTATGAGACATATTTTTGTAATTTACATGTCAGCACTAGTGAGTTATTATAATTAAGAGTGAGTTATTATTATAATTACTATAGACTATAGATCTATAGACCGAGAAGGATATCTGACCCGCTAGGCATAAGTCAAAATAAATTTTGACAGCTCACTGAGGCCATTCTGATAATGTCAAAAAAGTGTAACAACATCATTGTTGCACTGTGGTTTACATATTTTCTGACAGTCCGAACAGCTTCAGCAGCGTCTCGCAACACGACATTAATTTGTCTGTATTCTTTCGAAATCGGTCGACCGATAGGAGATTGAAAAACAAACAATATTATGTTTTGAAGTATCAGTGGAAACCCACAGCAAGTAAACAATTGTCAATTGCAAAAACTAGTCACAGCAAAGGGTGACGTGCAATAATTTAGTTAAGGAGGTCCAGAGATAAATTAATAACGCACGATTGGTCCGGTCGGCTGAGTTATGGCACTTTAGCTTCTGACCGCATTAAAATATTAGTTTTGAACTGCCCTTCGACTTCCACTGTAGGGGGAAATCTACAGAGTTGATACTACAAATTGTTACGACTTAGTTACATCGAACACTATAGAAAACCTTTCGTTATATTATAAACAAAGCTTTTTACATTCGATAGGTAAATAAGCAAGCCTTTTGATTAAAAAAAAAAACAAAAAAACAGAAAATGTTATTAAATCACGATAAAAATATAAGAAACTAGCTATTGCCTGCGACTTTGTCCGCGTGAATTTAATAAACAAGAAAATAGAGCCTTTAAGGTTAGTGACTGATAACGTATCTTTTTAATGGTGAAAGAATTTTTAATATCGGTCCAGTAGTTTTTTTAATTTCATCACACAATAATACAAATCTTTCCTCTTTATAATATTTAGTATAGACTGTGACATTTTATTAGTAAACAGTATCTAATTCATTGGGATTTAAAACTACATATGACTTTAAGACTAGCATTTTGACGCACCATCATCTTTACATTTCTCTAATGATGATATTGAATAATAACTTTATGAATACGTTAATAAAATCATTCATTCACGTGGTAAAGAGATAAGTGTAACAATTCGAAGATTAATTTGAAGGCCATTAAGGACAGGGAGTATTAAGATAACAAACTCGGACATTCTGAATTAGCTGACGTTATCTGACCGGTGCGATTCAAGTGACCATTGTGTGCAACCCTATCTTGCATCTATTTATTTGCAAGTCAAACCTCCATCGTCATTTGTTATACAGGACTCTATTGTTTTTGAGTTCTGCAAGCGTTTGTTATAAGTGGAGTTCGCGATATGTTAAATTTTTCACAACTAATTTTTACTTAATTTAATTTAAAACTTTCTTCCACTTATTCACTATCCGCTTTGTAAAACAGGATGTTGCTTTAGCCAAGACTTCAAAATTGAAAATTAAGATAAGCGTATTGAACGTAGTCTGTATCTTTAAGGGTTTAAAAAAATAAATTTTATATGACAGATGTCTTTATAAAGTCTTTCATACTAACAATAGTTTATTAAAAAGCAGAGAACTTGAAAAATCTCTTTTCTTGTGTTTCAGGCCAAAATGAGTACGGGGGATGGTACAGTGGGCGGTCACCAGAAAGCGGATGACCGCCTCGGTCACCACCAATCCATGAGTCAGATGCTGTACGGCGCAGGTCTCGGACCAGGACGGTCAGGTCAGTAGTCTAAATATAAACAGTTGTAATTCACATAAAAGTAATTTATTAAGCTAGCCTATTTTTCGGCAACATCGCCTTACAACTTACTTATGTTGATATGTTGTAACTACTTTCTGATATGTTGTAGCCCCAGTATACAAATATAGTCATTTATTCAATTAAAAGTAATAGAAATATCGTACTTATATTCGCATTTGGTATACAAATCGCTAGGGACAAATAAAACTAATGTAATTACGGGTCATTAAAAAAACGCGATTTGAATCAATACCAACCATTTCCAACTGGCCCCTCCCTTCCAGGGTCATCGTCGTCGTCTCCAGTGGGGGGAGCGGGCGGAGGCAGCGGGCTGCTTGTGGTGCCGCAGCCGCTGGGTAAAGGTCCTGCTAAGTTGCAGCCATTGCACGCGCATGCTAGGAAGTACCACTGCAAGATGTGCCCTCAGGTGAGTTCCCTTTTAATTGCTTATTAGTAATCTGTAATATACATACATACAGTAAATGTATTAAATCATTTTTGTATTAATAATTACAATACTTCTGCATACAAAAATGTTCGTTTGGCTATCAAAATGGATTCTAAAATCTGGCTCGAAGGACCAAAGATGGCCGACTCGCGGACCGTCGGCGAAATGATAATGAACGTCGACGCCGGCTGTCACTCATCAAAATTCAATTCGTCAACTGTGTCATGTAGGATCAACAAAACAAATCAGTTTACACTTTCATATCGTCTGATGTTAAAATAAATAACGTACGCCAATACTCAGAGAATAAAAATCTTTTTTTCATTTTTGCAGTCATTCAATATATGATTAGTTACTCTACTTAAAAATTTTGCTTTTTTTACTTTATTACCTTTAACCCGCGACTCCGTTCGGTTGGAATTAAAAAATAGCCTATGTATTCTTCCAGATTGTCTCTACATCTATGCAAAATTTCATTAAGATCCGTTTAGCCGTTTACGCTACAAACTGTAACAAACATGCATCTAAACTTTCATGATTATAATATTAAAATTTATTTGGTCGCCTAGTTTTGTTTAAATATTTCCTTTTTAATTTTTAAACAGGAACCATTAATTTGACAATTATAAAAAAATTTTATTGTTTCCATCGTCAGTTTGTTTACGATAACTATAAATTTATTGTCATATCAAGTTGAACTTTTTAATAACTATTATCGTTATCATTTGCTGACCGTACTCGCGTGTTGCCCTACGCGAACCGCAATTATTTCTCTATCGTAACTTTTTTGCGGTACCGTAATGCGTTTAGCTGTGGAAATAACGCATCGCATGTAATTAAAACTCAAAACATTAACATATCGTTTACATTTAATACTTTACTTGGTAAACGTTGGCTTTTACCGCGAAAGATACATGACTTTTGAGGTGCATTTTTATATAAAAACAACTGAATAAACATATTCAATGCCTTGTATTTGCTGTATTTGTTATTCAATTGTTATTTTATGTAAATAAAGTCGATTAATATTTTTATTGATTGAAAATTGTAATTAAAAGTACAAAGGTTCTTTTGTCATGATATGTTTTATTTTCCTGGTTAATTATATAAAAATAACACACTTTTTAGTAGGTTTTTGAACAGATTTTATGTGCGCTTAATGCTTGTTTTAAATAACTACCAATCAGTCCTTTAAATACTCTTTGATAGATGATTAAATGTTGAGTAACATTATAAACTCATGTGTCATAATATTCTTACTTAGTGCCTCCTAAACGCTACTTAATGGACCCCTAAAATTAAGGGATAATTAGTGACAATGTCTATCTACATATCGTATCATATTCTAACTTCAAAATCAGGTGGTCTTTAACTTTTATCTCTTAAAACCTCATCTACTTACCATTATCTTCCATTGTTTTAAATTAAAAAAGTCCCAAACATTCTCCGACTGTCTTTTCTAATTAAAAGAAAAAAAACACGTATCATATGAAATAAAACTTTATGATCCCGATATCGAAAGTTCGGTATCGAATGCCGATCCTATTACGCGACATCACGTGGCTTTCTAATCAAAACCGCGGGCGCTGGGGAATGTCATCACAAAAATGTCCCGAACGCCGTCAAGGCGGTGAGGAGAAACGGACAGACGGACAGACAAAAAGTCGCATCGGCTAATACTTATTGCGTTTGTGTAAATTTTCGCATTCTCCGGTCGGGACGTTACGCTTTTGGGTTTCGCCGATTGCCAGTTGTTGTCAACATTTTGATAAAAAATCATGTTTTGGAGCAAACGATTTGGGAAATGACTCATGTTGTGACCATCCCTTAAAAGGCAGAAAGAAAGAGTACTTATAAGGAACAACTAAAATGGTACCTTCTTTTGCATTTTCTTGTAATTCGTTTTAATTACTTAGTAATCATTATAAGTTAGGTTATAAATTTTATTATATACTGATATATAATAAATATTTGATTGTTACAATTGAATAGACTGTGATATTACTGAACTGTTTTCATACGTTTGCCATTCAAACTTCATTCATGCAAATGAGTAATGTAAATTATACTTTATACCAACGGGAAGGGTATGGATGACAGAAAAGATACGAGATAGTCTTTGATACCCAGACGAAGCTGGCTTTGATCATTAGTAAATAAGAGTCAAATATTTCGTAATTGCACATATAATATATAAAAATAACGTATATCTAGAGATTTTATTCAAAAGTAAACAATGCGTTTAAAATACTTTAGCAGTGTTATTCGAAGCGATTATCAAACTATCTTAAGATAAAAATCAACACTTGTTTGACCAATTATATCTCCTATAATTAAAACATAAAAATATCAACAATATAATCTCGGAATGAATTCAAACATTGAACTAAAGTAGCAAAAAGTTGAGCGCGCCTCGCCACCCGTTTGTAGCTCCCGACGCCAAAATATTTGACGAAACAAAACAACCTATTGTACGATCTTACATTTTTAACAGTTTATTGCAAAAAAATACGAGTGGAAAGTAGATTCCTACTACTTTTTGGTAACCTCTGGCTATTTCTTTTAGGTGATTTTAAATTGCTCTCGCTAGATGGCGTGTTTGTTTGTCTTGATACTACAAAGCTGGTAAATTTTCATATAATGTTTTAAATGTGAAAACTTGGATGAATAGATGATTGTTACTATGTATCTCCAAAACAGCTTTACTGATGTGACATCTGGCACAATGTAGAACACAGTCTGAAAGAATAGATAGGATGCTTAGTTTTCTAATTCCGCGCGGACGAAGTCGCGAGAAAAAGCTAGTAATCAATAAAAGTATGGATGATCCCGAAAGCTTTTAAAGATTTAAGTTTTAATTATCAAAATAATGGAACCATAGGGACTGATAATGTTAAAATTGATAGGCGAAAATGTTCAAGCCCGGAATTTGTCGCAATATTAAAGCATATATCAATTTACGGTCTCTATTCACCCCTTATATTAACACGCTGACTACTTTAGCAAAACTAAATGTGCCCAATAACACACACCACTCCGCAAACGATCAAGCAAATTCCTATCATTACATGAAGCACCCTACATTTGTCGACCAACTTTAAATCAATCCCTAAAACAGACAAAAGAGAACCTTAAACTAAGTAGAATAACGTCTCTATCTATAGCAAATCTAAATTTGCAGACACTCTATGAAAATCGGTAATGTATTCGGATGGTCACATTGAATTTGTCTGATAATGTACTTTATTACTTTGAAAGTAGAGTTGAAGATGCGTTTTTCGTTTATTTAACGTAACGGTAAGTTGGATGGGCACTTATGGAGGTCGATTTTTCATGAAAAGAAAATCACATGTACTTCCGGTCATCCGTCTGATGCACGGACAGACGGCGCTGCAAATTTTCTATATTAATATATATAGAAAATCTACAATACATATAATATCTAATGATATGTATTGTAGATCAGTTTACAAAATGTCGTGACTTGCAATGGTATTCAATAACTTAGACTTGACATTTGTATATCTAAGTTATGAATGCATCCATACAATACTTACTGAAGTTAGAAGCTGTTTAAATATTGTAAGTATGTTTGAATGCATTTTTTATGTTTTCAAATTAAGTAACAACTAATCTTTCCACGCATTTTTCTATGTACAATCGAAGATATTTACGTTTGTAAGATACATAGTACACGCGTTTAGTTTACTTTTTATTAATTTATACAACGTAATATAAAGTACAGATGAATGAAGTATGGATGAAGAAAGGGACGATAAGGACTTATGGAAAAGGTTGGAGAAGGCCTATACCCAGAATGGGGTCCAGTTACTGGAATAAAAAGCCTAAATAAATAAATAAAATAAATAAATATAAAGTACTATATGATGCCCGCAACACCGTCTGCATTACATTTAAAAAATAAATCCAATATTACTTACTGTAACGTAGCTTTTTTATGATGACAGAATTTTTGTAATCGGCCGGGTAATTTTTGAGTTATTTCAATACATACAAAAATGCAATTCTTACCTATTTATAATATTAGTACAGATGTAATAAGATAGTACTTGTTATATTGATTACTATAATAGATTTTTGCGTATATGTAATTATGGCGTTGCATTTTATATGCATTGAATGAAGACATAAAAATATAACTTCATTTTGTCGCGTCAAGATTTACCGCCGTTGGGCCATTAAACCGGCTGTTTGCGGACACAAGACGCACGCAAGTCGTTTGACCTCGCAGTCCGAGGCAGGTGGGCGGCGCACGCGGCCGCTTTCTGCAATTATCACTTGACACCGGACGACAATTGACATTACTTTTGGAGCCACGAAAACTTTAATTTTCTATACTCGCGTATCGAATTACTAATTTTTATTAATATCGAACTACTACGATTATTATTAAATATTAATTTAATCTATACTAATACTATAGAGAAGAAATATTTGTATTATTGTATCTATTCAATTCACGTATAAATTACTGGGCCGATTTTAAACATTCTTTCACCGTAAGTAAAGTAATTTTTCTGTGAGTAACATAGGCTATATTTTATATTATTTTTTAATCTCACGCGGACAAAGTCGCGAGTAAACTAGTAATTCGTAATTCTAGAACAATCAACACAGAGCCAAAAGATAATTTGCCGCTTTATTGTTTATTCTAGAATATGAATCAAATGCTTGCTATGAAAATCTTTACTATTTATCGCTATTCTTATGTACAGTTCTGCGTTTATTAGCATCCTTTATAATATTGGTTGTTATAAGTGGAGATATGAAGTGTGCGGATGTAGATTCCTGTATCAAAGATCACAGTTGTAAACTAATGCATATTCCGTTGCATTTAAATAATCGCTTACTTCATGGCCCAATCTTAAAAGCGGGCGTTAGACGAAGCGTGCAACTTAGCATTTTCATATTTAATCTCCCTTTACGACCGTTAAACAGTTCCGAGCTTATCGAGACAC